GTTCGGATCTTGGGGGGGTCCTTCTCCAGCTTACCCCGTTCTCTCTTCGATATACACACATGATGGTGCCTATACATCTCAATACATTGATTCACAGAGCACAAACAGCCTTCGGGCTTGCATGGCCTACGGGCTACATACACAAGTTCCACACATAGTGCCGTCTGTACATCTTCATACATAGATACACAAAGCATACACAGCCTTCGGGTATGCAGATACATTGCGAACTACATAACTATCAGACTGGGAGGGTCTAGTCACTGGGTGGGGTCTTGTATCTGCGGTAGGGACAGGTATGGGCCACCAGAGTTCCTACTGATATTCGGGGGGAAGACATAACTACCATACCTATGCCTTCCCCCCGATTTGCACTCCACTGACACCAATTCTGCGTCGCACAGAAAGCACCCATCTACCACTCACCCACATCATCTCACTAAGTCCTCCTCCGTAGAGAGGCGCCCGTGCGAGCATCTTGTAACCGTAACCACCGTCATCCCTCGCCCTGCCATAGTTCCTCACGATCGAGAATCAGTTAAGGGAGCACGCATGTCGTGCACTAGAAGCAAGATGTAAGGTGCACCAAACATGCGGAAGATTGCCAAGCGTGCATGTTTTCTAACACCGGGGAGTCGGGGACTTGGGGTGGCAGGGGGAGAGGGAGAGGGAGGGAGGGAGGGGGAAGGGGACAGGGGGGCTGGTTCTTGATGCACTACCTTCTGCGTCGATTACCCGAGAGAAACTGCTACCCGCCCATACCCATCTGAATTTTTTTCTTTACCGCCCTAGACCACACATACCCTTGCTTTCTTTTTTTTTGGACCGCCCATACCTGCATTATTTTGCTTTTCCCCGCCCCTACCTCTCCCTCCCCCTGCCTGCCCGTGATCTCCATCTTGGCAACTGTCCCCGCCAATTTTATTTATTTATTTTTTTAGGAAAGATGCCCGTGTGGGATCTTGGGGCGCAACTGTGCCCGCACTCACAACGACCCATAAGTTTTTTGCCGGTCCATACCCAATTTGGGCACGGGCAACGGTTACCTGTTTACACTCCCTGGCGCACGCCGTGCATTTGCAGCACGATGTAAGGACCACCGAACGATCGCAAGCCCGTCCCGAGTATACCACCCAATTTGCCCCCCGGAAGGGCAACAAACGCGCTGAGTTTTTTTGCTGGCCCATACCCAATTCGCCCCCCGAAAGGGTACCCGTCCCCGTCGCCGTCCACAACCCGCCGGTCACAGTTGGGTACGGTCGGGCGCGGGCAACGGTTACCTGCTTACACTCTCTGGCGCGCACACTGTGCATTTGCAGTACGATGTTAAGGAGCACCGAACACGTGGAACATTGTCAAGGAGCAGGACCGCAAGCCTGTCCTGAGTAGACCACCCACCCTCGTTGGTTCCTGTGCCAACAGACAGAAAGAATGTTCGGAACTGCAGCTGCTGCCATCGCTGCGTCGTAGCCAGCGCGGTGGCCAGCACGAAGCGCAACTGAACCAGCACATTCGTCGCCGTAGCCTGCGCCATGGCCAGCACAAAGCGTAACTGAACCAGCATGTTTGTCACCGTAGCCAGCGCCGTGGCCAGCGCAAAGTGTAACTGAACCAGCACGTTCGTCGCTGTAGCCAGTGCCATCGCCAGCGCAAAGCGTAACTGAACCAGCACGTTCGTACGTGTACCATCTGAAATTGAGGACGAGTAGAACGCTGCTGTCGCTTATACCCCAGTGGCAGGCCGGTTCAGCGTTGGTACCCTGCCCGGCCACAGTGACGAGCGCATTGGAAAACTCGTTGGAAAACTAGCCTACATTCGGAAAACATCATACAATTACAAAGGCGTGAAGATCGGCATAGGCCGTTCACTCCACACACCTAAAAGCCTGGTCCTTATGGCAAACACCCCACCCCGGTGCATGAAACAGAAAGTCCTAAATCGCACGAGTTTCAGCCGCCAGAATTTAAATACCCAAGCTCAGGCACCAGTATTCCGAGGGTAGCGCATGCGTACATCAAAAAGGGCTCGCACCTGCCAGCTCAAAATGCAGCACTATACAACCGCCGAACTGGAAAGAGAAAGCGGCTACTGGCCGCCATATCAAATCAAAACAGATCCACAAAAATCCTGCGCAACGATCCAACCGCTGAAGAGGGTACTCGGAGCCCCCCCCCCCGGCCCCCCGATCTATGTCAGCCCGGGCAAGTCGCTTCAATTTTTTTGGGTGGGGGTTTTCTGCACATGCCCAGAGGAGCCCAAATCCGGGCTCCTTGCATTTTTGGAGTGTTGACTCTGCGTTGCACGGTGAATGTGTTCGCGCCCTTTCACGTTGGCGCGAACAGCTCGCGAACATGTTCAGGCGAACATAATTTTTTTCCGTTAAAAAAAATAATAATAATAAAAATTGTTTTCGCTTTTTTATTTTTAACTCGTGATTGGCTACGAATTCGAACATGACTCCAAGGCAAAAGTTGCTTGTATTGTTATTTTATGTAACATATATTTTTCATATTTTTCCGAGAACTTTTTTTTTTTTTTCCGCGTTCGGAGGGTTTTGGGGGCTTGTTCACGTTCGGGCGAACATGTTCGCGTTCCCCTCCGAACGCGAACACGGTGCTTCGTAGTTGACTGTCAAAAGGGGGGGGGGGGRGGGGTTATACATTGGTTTCTAAGGGGGTTGCTGTAGTCTGATTTTTTTTGTTGTTTCTTTCTTTTTATCTTGGATCCTGTGAGGAATTAGGATGTCATCCTTGGCCAAAAGTTGTTTGCACTGCAATTCGACACAGTTTTCTTTTCTCGAATTTTTTGATATTTTATTTTCCTATTTTTTCGGTGCTGTGGCACCCCGGAACCCTCCCGGGGGTTCATGCCTGGGTCTGGGCACAAGTTGGGTGCCCGGACGCCCAGCCAAACAACCTACATTTTTTTTAGTTTTATTTTTAATAAGGGAAAGTGTTCGAAAACGATAAATTTGAATAAAATACTCCAGATGTCCGATGTCAAGTCCGGTATCCTGGCTATAGTGAGGGACTCGGCTGTTGAGGCTGAGGTCCCCGGCTCGAATCTGTGCTTGCACGGAGGGAGGGCCTTGGGCTGAGACATACGGACCAATAACGGCTTCATATGTTGGGTCATCCCATAGAACTTAGTAACGTACCCTTTTTTTTTTTCTTTTTTGTTTGGTGTGGGAATTCCATGGTGGTCCTTACTCTCTTGCTTACAGCAGAGCTACCTGCGCGATAGTGCCTTCGGCTCTCTTCTTCTCTATCTCTATCTCTATCTCTATACTCTTAAAAGTTACAAAGGTCCCAGCGACACACGCTGGCGTGGGCCCACGAGGAACTGCCGGATGGCCGGAACCGGAGGCGAGTCCCGTGTTGAATCGCATTCATGAGAAAGCACAGGACAGGAGCAACCTGAGGGGAGTCCCGTGTCGATTCACAGAGTCGTGGTCGGGGCCGGCTGTCGTGTGTGCCGAGGCGAAACGGTGCGGGGCCCGTAGGAAAAGAGGCGCGGGGGCCCATAGAGAAAGCGCCACGCCGGGGGGCTGGGCGCGGGAAAAGGCGAGCGAGGGCATGCAAAAGGGAATCGCGCATGCAAGGCGTGAGCGCCGAAGGGAATTGTGCATGCAAGCCGTGAGCATCGTGCGTGTAGGAAGAAAAGAGGTGGGCACAGGGACCAAGGGAGACTGACAGTGAGGATCGCGAGTGAGATCGTCGAAGGCGTGGAGGGAAGGAGAGCATAGGCAGCGAGGCGACTGAGATCGTGGAAGGTGTAGAGGGAAGGAGAGCACAGGCAGCGAGGCGCAGCTCACGAAGAAGAGCAAAGCAGATAGCGGGGAGTGAGATCGTGCGCGAGTGAGATCGTTGAAGGTGTAGAGGGAAGGAGAGCACAGGCAGCGATGCGACATCCGAATCACCTTCTTTTTTTTTGGCTTATTCGTGCATGCATGGAACTGTTCCCACATGTGAATGCCTCTTTTTTTTGCCCTCTCTTTTCGTCCTTTGTGCCCTTTCTGTCTTCTAGCTCCCCACGCTGCGCCGGGTTCACTTGTTAAAACTTAAAACTCCTACTCCATGAATGCATTTTTATTTTTGAATGATTTTTATTTTTGTTTTATTTTCATTTTTTTTAAACAAGATTTTTTGTATGTTGTGGTGGTTCTTTCAGGTTTCCAGTTCAAAGAAGGATGCTATTGTGCAATATGGCTGCGAACTTTGCAGAGAATCAAATGTAAGTAACATCAAAAAAAAAAAAAAAAAAACTAAGTAACGTACTAACGTGACGTCATCATTTTTTTTTATTTTATTTTTTTAGAATAGAGGTACAACACAGCTTTAGCCTCTTTTCATTGCCATTTAGTGACATCCCCTATGTTCTACTCGTGTGCGCATTCCGCAGCAGATGACAACCTGGAACACGCGTAACGGCAGACGAAGAAGAAGAAGAAGAAGAAGAAGAAGAAGAAGAAGTAGACGACGACGACGACGATGATGATGACGACGATGACGACGACGACGACGAAGAAGAAGAAGAAGAAGAAGAAGAAGAAGAAGAAGAAGAAGATGAAGAGCAGATGAAGAAGAAGTAGACGACGACGACGAAGAAGAAGAAGATGAAGAAGAAGAAGAAGAAGCTATGGAAGCACTGAACAACATAACCTGGTCTTAAAAAGATGCTGTGCCTGCATTGACTGACGGCTGCAAAACAGCGGCGAACTAAACAACTGTGAATCGGTTGCAAACAAAGACAGATACAGGGGTCGGGAGGGCAGAGGCCTTGCTACCCATAAATTTTCAATTCTATATCTGTTAAATTGTTGCCTTGGGCACTCGGCCCGTGTTGAAATTTCCGCTTTAGTTTAGGGGAAAAAAAAAGATACAAAACCATTGCAAGACGGTTGCAAAACATTAGGGAACTGTTTCAAAACAGTTTTGAAAACCATTGCGAGACAATTGCAAAGTATTATGAACGATCCGAGCTCAGTTGGTACATCCATGGACTGTTGAAAAAATACGGACCCGCGTTGGAACCCAGATGTAATCAGGGCTCGTGCCCTCTTGCCCTTCCATGAAAAAGGAGAAAAAGGAGGAACACCTAAATAGTAAATATACTAGATAGCTAGGCTACCAGAGCGGCCTGGGTCACTTGCCCGGCCGGGCCAAAAAGAAATTAAAAAATAAAAAAATGAAAAATAATAAATATGAAATATTTTTTAATTTAAATGTTTATTTTAAATTTGGTAAAGAATTTCGTTGTGATCCTGAGGAAAAAGCTGTTCAGTTTATTTTTCTGCATAACTTCTTTTTTTTTTTTTTTTTTTTTTTTTTTTTTATTGCTGGGACCTTCCGTAGTCCTTGCACTGCCGGGCCGCCCAGGAAAATAGGGTGACCCGGGCTGTTACGGACTTCGCCAGGGCTCGATCCCTGGTCTATCCTTTGCTGTTTCGGCTGCATCCCGTTTTCGGCCTGGCACCCTTTTTCCAAACCCCTCCTTTGGTACCGTAGGATTTTGGACAACTGGCGCCATGCTGCAATTCGGGCGCCACTTTCAAATACTGCATTTTTCAGTTCTGCCCTCGGGGCCTT